AGAGAGAGAGAGAGAGAAGAGGACAGGGGAGGGGAGGGGAGAAGGAGGGAGAGGGAGGGAGAGAATAGAAGAGAGAAAAAAAGGGCGGTGGGAGAAAGAGCACGAGCTGCCGGCAGGAGCCCATTCCCTCACCCCCTGAAACCTTCTCACACTAAGAGGACCGGCCAGCCCCAGCCCAATGGGCCCTCAGTGTCCTCAGTACCTGATGAATTGTCATGGGAAATGCTGATGACAAGGGCTCTGGGGGCATCTGCAAAGAGAGTGAGCTAGCCTCAGGGGGATGTTTAGTTCCCACAATGGAGAAGCACCCTCACAGAAAAGGAAGTGCAGCTGTCCGGGAAAGACAAGTGACAGGTCAGCACCACAGCACACGCATATGCACCGAGGACCAGAGGACCCTGCCATCCCCCTCCCAGGGCTGGGGCCAATCCCGGGACCCCATGGCTTCCTCTACAGGGACCCTCCGGAGTGCCTTCCCTGCTAGGCTCTTCATCTCCCTGTCCCCAGGCTTGTTTGCAACCACAGCCCCCGCCACACTCACAGGCCATGCGGAGTCGGACGGTCCTCTCTGTCCTCACACCATTTGTGAAGTCCACACAGCAAGTCAGGTCGGTGTTGTGGTCCCGGTATCTGGGCTTGAGGCTGAGCGCTGAGAAGTGGGAGGCTGACCGGGTTCCCTGGGAGGAGAGGGCAGCCCCCAGCCAGGAGAAGGAAGGGGCTGGACATCCCTCGAAGGTCCAGTTAAACACACAGAGGACCGTCACTGGCTGGTTGGGCTCCAAGACCTCGGGGACATAGACTTCTGGCTTCTTAACCTCTGGGACAGACGGAAGGGCGATCACAGTGCCACAGGGGTGCCCGGAGAGCCCTCTGCGCTCAACCTGTGGCCCGTCCCCACTCTCCCTCTCCAGGATGAGAAGCAGGGATTCTCACTCCGTTCCACACCTGTCACCTTCAGAGAGAATGACTTCTCGAAACCGTGTCTCACGGTGCGTCCTCTCTCCACGCGAAAGAAGTACGTTCCCTTGTCCTCCTTCTGGGCTTCTCTGATCACCAAGGAGCAGCTCTTGTTCCGGGGATTCCCGGTGAGCTGGAATCGGTCCCGGGTCCTCGTTTGCACCTGTTGAGCCTGGTTGTTTGTGGCCACTGGAACACCAGTGTTCCTTCCTTTGAACCAGTAACCATAAACTGGTGTCGACTCGTTCCAGCCGTCCTGGGGGTAGGAGAAGGAGCAGGGCACAGAGACGCACAGGCCCTCCTGCACCGTCACCGACGCCTGCACTTCCGGCTTGAACCTTGGATCCTCCTGCAGGGACCCTGGGGGGACACTGAGGCTCAGCTGCAGCCTCAGCCCCCGCCAGAGACCCCCAGCTGTCACCCTACTCACCTGCCCCCAGCACAGGCAGCAACAGGGACAGCAGCAGCATTGCTAGGCACTGAGGGCCTGGGCCCGTCCCGGGAACATCTGGCGTCTGGGTCTGTCTGGGAAGGAAGCTTTAACTTGACACTCAGGGAAGGGACGGTGACATCCCCAGAAGAGGAACCTCAGAACTGCAAATGTCCAGAGAGATGCCCTCTCCCTACTTCTCGTTCTCAGAGGAAACAGCGGGTCAGGGAGTGGGAGGACCTGCCCTACCCAAGCTGTGTGGGTTGGCCTCAGGGGTGGGGAGTCCTCGGAGGGTCTCGGGGACATGGGTGAGCTGATGGAGGTAGGCTCCCATCCATCCATCCATCCATCCATCCATTCATTCTTCAAAGTCTACTCCATGCAGGGGCAGGACACAAAGAGGAAAATGGAGCAGCCAACCCCTTCCCACAAGGTCCTCACCCTCGCATGACCCCAAATCTGAGGTCGCCCAGTCTCCCCAAGGCTGCTCTTCTTCCTGCCTGTCTGGGGCCGTCTCTGTGGTTCACACCAGTCTCCCAGCCCTACATGAGACCTTAAGCTGCTGCACAAAACCCTGTGCTTTGTTGGCCTCACATTTCAGATCTAATGCTCTGAGGTTGCCATCTTGAAATTCTTAACTTTATCTTTGAATTTGGGTTTTGAAAGTGAGGTCTAAGGGATCACAGATCCTGCATCAAGGGGCTTGGACCTGGGATCACATTTTTGTCACCTCTTGCTTCCTTCAGGTTCATGGCCCTGGCCCACCCCATCCCCTCACCTGGGCACAGAGAGGATCTGGATTGTATTGAGTCAAGGGGCAGGGACCTTGAACTCCTCTGAGGGTCTTCACTGCCCACTTCCCAATTTCCCGAAAGCTGAGGGATTGGATATTAATTAGAAAAAAAAACCCACACCATGGGTGACAGTCAACGGAGGGAGGGCTGTCATTCCCTCATCTTCTGTTTCCCATGGCAACCAGTAAAAGCCATTCTTACCATCATGAATAACAAGCAAATGAAATGCCATGAACAAGATGCAGTCTAGCCATACAATGGAATATGGTTCAGTCATTAAAAGGAATAAAGTGGCCGGGCATGGAGGCTAAGTCCTATAATCCCAGCACTTTGGGGGCCAAGGCAAGAGGACTGCCTGAGCCCAGGTGTTTGAGACCAGCCTGGGTGACTTGGGGAGACCGCGTCTCTACAATAAAATAAAATAAAATTAGCTGGGTGTGGTCGCGTGTGCCTGTAGTTCCAGTTACTTAGAAGGCTGAGGCAGAAGGATCCCTGAGCCAAGCACGCTGATGCTGGGGTGGCCTTGAGTACGCCACTGCACTCCAGTCTCAGTGTCGGAGTGAGACTCCAACTGAAAAAGAAAAAAAAGGAATGAAGTTCTGACCCATGCTACATGATAGAAAAAACCAGAAACATACTAAGTTATTCAAGTCAGATAATATCGCACCATTCCTTTTGAGATAGGAGTTCAGCAGGACTAGTTTCCTTGGATAAACAAGGCTAAGTTTTCAAGAGCAGAAGCTGAGGCAGCTTCTCTAGACTGATAGATGGACTGGCTTTCTGAGACCCCACAGGAAAGCAACAGGATGCGGTTGAGACCACGTTGAAGTCTGCTAGAACTAAGATGGCAACTAATTTGCCTGCTACCTAACCTTCTCCTTCATTATATGCTCATTATAATACATGATTATGATGAATGACACACCTTTCAGTGCCTGGACAGTTCCAACTCTGCTCATTTATCATAAAAAACAGGGTGGGGCCGGGCACGGTGGCTCTCATTGTTGCCAGGTGGGGTGAGGCCCAAATCTCGTGAATAAACCATCTTAAAATATTGTACTGATTTTGGCGATTTTCTTTTTTTTTTTTTGAGTTGGAGTCTCACTCGGTCGCCCAGACTGGAGTGCAGTGGCCATTCCTGGCCACCGCAGCTTTGCCTGCTGGGCTCCGGCGATCTTTCCGCCTCAGCCTTCCGAGTAGCCGGAATTACAGGCATGCGCTACCATGCCCGGCTGATTTTTTGATTTATTGTAAAGATGAGGTCTCGCTGCCCGGGCGGGTCTCGAACCCGCGGGCTCAGGCAATCCACTCACCTCAGCCTCCCAAAGGTGCGGGATTACAGGCTGCGCCACCGAGCCCGGCTGATTTTGGAGATTTTTATCAACAAGTGGGGAGGCATGTCTGGGGACACTGCTCAGATCTGGCCCAGCTCCCAACTCGCTAATTGAGCAGAGGGTAAAGAATTAATCTCACCACAGAGAGGTCAAGACTTTGCTTTCAGGTCCTGGGAAGTGAGCTCTGGGACTTTGGAATGTCCTACTGATAGAAATGTCTTTGTTAACCTAGGGCTGTGGATCCCTGGGATGGTCTGTGCTGACCCTGTGTATGGTGGGGCTTTGAATCATGTGGTATCTGTTCTTCCTCCAGGAAGGCTAGGGACTAGGTCAGTCATGCAGGCAGTCAGCCATGTCTACACAACCAGTTTCCAAGAAAAGCCCTGGATGCGGAGGCTCAGGGGAGCTTGCTGGTTGGTGACACTCTCTGTGTTGTCTCACATCATTGCTGGGAGAATTAAGCATACTCCGTATGACTTCGAGGGAAGGACAACTAGAATCTCACACAATGAGCTCTCCTGCACCCTGCCCTGTGCATCCTTCACTGATTTTTTTTTTTTTTTTTGAGTTGGAGTCTCACTCTGTTGCCAAGACTGGAGTGCAGTGGCCGCTCCCAGCCACCGCAGCTTCGACCTGCTGGGCTCCGGCGATCCTTCTGCCTCAGCCTTCCGAGTAGCCGGAATTACAGGTGCACGCTACCACACCTGGCTAATTTTTTGATTTTTATTGTAGAGATGAGGTCTCGCCTGCCGAGGCGGGTCTCGAACCGCGGGCTCAGGCAATCCACTCACCTCAGTCTCCCAAAGGCGCGGGATTACAGGCTGAGCCACCGAGCCCGGCCTTTCACTGATTTTTATACATAATAATAATGATTATTATTGTTGTTGAGCGGAATCTCACTCTGTTGCCCAGGCAGGAATACAGTGGCATGCTATCGGCCACTGCAGCCTCGACTTACTGGGCTCTGGGGATCCTTCTACCTCAGCCTTCCAAGTAGCTCGAACTACAGGCCTGTGCCCCCACACCCTGCTAATTTTTTGATTTATTGTAGAGACGAGGTCTTGGCGTGTTGCCCAGATTGGTCTGGAACCCTTGGGCTCAAGCAATCCTCTTGTCTCCACCTCCCAAAGTGTGATTACAAACGTGAGTCGCTGTGCCTGGCTGATTTTAAAATTATTTTTAATGATAAGTAATATTTGTACATGTGTATGGGATATATGTGATATTTTGTTGCATGCACAGAATGTGGGATGATCAAGTCAGGGTATCTGGATCCATCGCCTCAGGCATTTTTGATTTCTACATGGTGCGAACATTTCAAGTCCTCTCTTTTCCCACTTTTGAAATATACCATACATTGCTGTTGAATACAGTCACCCAACTCTGTTACCAAACATCAGAACTATTCCTTCTCTCTTACTGTGTACTTTTGTCGCTATCCAACCTCTCTTCTTCCATCCACTCCCTAACACCCTTCCCAGCCTCTGGTAACTCTCATTCTACTCTCTCTCTGTCTCTCTCTCTCTGTCTCTCTCTCTCTGTCTCTCTCTCTCTCTCTCTCTCTCTCTCTCTCGTTGGGGTCTCACTCTGTCACCCAAGGCTGAGTGCGGTGGAATGATAAACTCACCATCCTGGGCTCAGGTAATCATCCCACCTCAGCCTACAGAGTAGCCACCCTGCCTGGCTTATTTTTAAATTTTTTTTGTAGAGACAAATTCTTGCTGTGCCACCTAGGCTGACTAGTCTCAAGCTCCTGGGCTCAAGCAATCCTCCCACTCAGTCTCCCAAAGTGCTGGGATTACCAACATGTGCCACTGGTCCCAGCCTATAATTCTACTTTTTACTTCCATGAGAACCACCTCTTTAGCTCCCACATATGGGTATAAACATGCAATATTTGACCTTCTGTTCCTGTTGCAGGAAAACAAATCAGAGAGATCATGACACCGAGGCTGGCCAGCAGGAAGCTGCGTTTATTTCAGAAACGCCAGCGTTCGGCCCAGCAGACTCTAATCACAAAGGCTGGGTCTGGATTGCAGTCGGATCTCAGCTTCTACATGTTTTACATTGGCTTTGGAGGAAGGTGCTTTTCATGGTGGAAGGTTTTGTACTTTTTGTAACAATATCACAAGCTTGTGGTTTTGGCTACAGGCACTGAGCACAGTGTTATAAGAAGGGGCTTGCGGTTTCAACTGCAGACACTGAGCACCGCATTTGCATTAACAAACTGGAACATTTTAATTGTGTTATATATTTTGAAGCATTTTCTCAAAGTGCCCTACCACATTCCTGACTTATTTCACTTAACATAATGACCTCTAGTTCCATCCATGTTGCTGTAAATAACAGGATTTTATTCTTTTTTAAAAGGCCAAATAGTATTCCATTGTGTACATATACTGCATTTTCTTTATCCACTTTTCCAGTGATGGATACTTAAGTTGCTTGCATATCTTTGCTACTGTAAATAGTACTGCAGGAAACCTCGAGGTGCAAGTATCCTTTTGATATACAGATTGGTATACTGAAGTGCAAATGGTAAATTTCACTTCTTCTTTTCCAGTCTAGTTGCTTTTTATTTCATTGTCTTGCCTTATTGCTCTGGCTAGGCCTTCCAGTACTATGCTGAATAGGAGTGGTGAAAGTAATAAAAGATGTCAGCTTTTCCACAATCAGTGTGATGTCAGCTGTGGGATTGTCATATATAGCCTTTATTATGTTGAGATATGTTCCTTCTATCCCTAGTTTGTTGAGCGTTATTATTGTGAAGGGATGCTGACTTTTACTGAATGCCTTTTCTGCACCTGAACAGATGATCATATGGTTTTTGTCCTTCATTTTGTTAATGTGATGTATCCTGTTTATTGATTAGTTGTGTTGAGCCATCCTTGCATCCCTGGGACATAGTCCAC